CGTAGTAGAACAAAATAACAATAAATCTACTAACATTTTGTTTGAAACATACAAGTGGTTAGGAACTGTTATACAGGTTCCGTCTGGTAACAGTAGTCCCTTTTAAAATTGTTTGCAGTAAAAGAATAATCTGACAAAATCATCTTGTCTTCTTTCCAGAACATTTTATCTATCCTCCAAATAAAAGAGTTCCAAAAGAAAGACAACTGAAATACGTAAAAGTATACAATTAAATTGTAAAAATTATAATTGTTTACTCGATTTTCGTTCATGCATGCAGGGTGAGGACAGTGTCTTTCTAACTCCTATTTACCTGAAATTTCTGAGCAACGGCTTTATGTCCGGTATTCCACAAACAGAATATTTGGGTATATTCTTTTATACTTTTCATATTTCAATTGCTTATACACAAGCCCACGTGTGTCGTTGGTTATTCACGTGTAACTTGTTGAATGGGAAAGCCGTTGTAATGTTAAACGGACCGTGACCCCAGACAGTACGATCTATTTTGAGTTTTCCAGAAGTATTATATTATCTAGTAAATGTTGATTTAAAGTTACAGATATTTAAATATATATATATATATCACAAATACGGTTCACAATTAAACATCTCACAAATACGTTTGACAATTTCAAATGAAACAAACAAACAGTGTGACAAAATATACAAGCTGTTTTAATGGAATAATCAATAACAGTGTAGTTTACAAACAAATAGAGGACTTACATCGTCACAAATACCGTATACCCTTGGTTAGTCTGACAAGTTCTACCTAATAGTTATCGGTAACAAACAATCTTTAGAACTGTATCACGTGCATGCGAGTGTTGTATTTTACATCTGTTATGTTTCATCCTGATTGAATCTCGACCTGTCTGTCTGTTCATAAACACTTCCCCTGCCATACCGCGACGTTGTGGATCCCAATCGAGAACAGTCGGCACTTTCCGCAAACGAGAACGGAATGTGCCGACGGTTCCCGAGTATGTGGATCCCTAAGAAAACAATCCGAGTCATGTCAGTGTTTGTTTTTAAACACAGGCTGCATTAGCTTTCAATTAAAGCGTAAAAATGACAAATGGAAAAGTACTATACAGTGCGTGAATATGGCATAGTCGATGAATCACATAACAAGACTATACTATTATCGCATGGGACACTCACGCTTAGAAATAATGCATAATAAATATTATGCTATTATTGACGAAGACAATTACAGAGAAACAACGATAAATAAAAGTAGGTAACTACACACAAAAAGGATGCACAGTGCCTTCCCTTTACATATTACTTTTATGAAAAGAGTTTCGCCGAGTTTCATCGTCACATTTGAAATTAGAACGAGATTGACATTCTTTTATCACTAACGTCACAAAATTATAGGAAAAGAAACCTTTCATCAATAGCTGATCAGCAAATGCAAGCGGTAAATATCACATTATGTTTCCTTTGTCGTAAATTATGACGTCATCGCCTTTTTCCATGTGACGTCACAATGTTGACACGATAAAGGTTACTTTTAACTATATTGGAGATTTTACACAGCGTACCGACTTCAAGTATGATGAAATTGTGCGGTAGTAATAAATGAATCGACTAGAAACAAAAATCAATCGGTAGTAACATTCAAAGCCGAGGACACTGTAAAATGGCGGATCTATGATAAGACGATTTATGCACTCCCAAATGTAAAGACTTTCTTAGTAGAGTAATGCACAACACGGAACAAGAATTACTGGATGTGCATAACTTTTGAATAACCGTTTTTAGCAGAATTCAATTTTGACCTTAAAACATTATTAATTCAAGATATTGAATGTATGTATTTTATGAAGAAATAGGCATATTGCAATTTCAAATTTATTGTTTGCATTTATTTCGTTGCGATACAATTGATCCCGAGAGGGGCATGTACTACTATGTAAAATCTCGAGATAACGTCCCTTGTTTTATTGACCAACTCGCGTACTGCCCACATTTTTCACGAACGCTTTCCCCTTTCTCGTAAAATGATCCTTTATATGTCTCTAAGCATTACAACACCCATCTATTATGCCAAAATGTCACGTGATAAATTGCGGAATTATAACGAGAGTTGTAAAATTATAGATTGGTTCAAAAGAAATACACAGACACAAATTAATAACATCAAAATGTCAATGAAATGCGCTAAGTTCTAAAGTTGAAATCCCTCATGGATATAATTATACATCATCTTACTGTGGAAATTAAGAAGTATTTTCTTAAGCATTGAACTGTTTTTGTATGGTATTTATGATCTATTTGAATGACACAGCTTTGCAAGCAAACAACATAATGCGCGCTAGCGCATTATGATTACGTTTACTTATATTTACGTTTTCTCTGCCTCTTATGTTCTTTTTTAACTTATAATTTATAATTAAAATTAAAAATGCCCGCCTTATCGACAGTCCACACAATTTCGTTCAATAGTTTGAACAGCGTATTGTCGCGTGCTGATTGGCAAACAAAGTAGTACTTTGACATTTTAACAAACACTTCAAATTTATTCCACAATTTAGTATCAATACAATTGCGTATGATATGTCTATAGGGTGATTCCAGTTTTTCAATAGAAATCTGAGCTGAAAGTTAGATTTGAAATTGTTTCGATTTTCCCCCGGAACAAATTTCGCGCATGGATAAATACAGTGAACACCGTGAATGGGACCTTGACCTCCACGAGGGAGTTATTTTTGGAAGTTAATTCGAACTTTTCTCTTTGCTCATTTTGTGAAGAATCCAGGCGTGAATGTATTTGTTGATTGTATGGGAACCCGACAACAGTCGGTAGATTCTATAACAGCATCGTTATTTGACATGTCGTCTGAAACTGAGGAACCGTGGATCCGAGACGCGTGAAACTGATAGCGTTTGAAGTGAGTGATCTTGCGACGGAGCACAGGTTCGTTACAAATGTCTGAAATGACGAATGTTTATGTGTGCTGTGACTCATATCAGTAGGTCTGTAACATATGTGTCAGTAGATCTATAGAATATGTGTATTTCAGACATTTATAACGAACCCCTGTTGATCAATGCAGTGTAACAGACGATATTTCTGACAAATTGCATGAGCGTTAAAAGTGTTTCCATTGCCGGCATTGGTGATTTCAACCGATGTGCATTTTGTACGATATTGCAGACCTTGGTCTTGTTTTCGTTGACATAAAAGTGTTTTTTATTTTATTTTGTATTTTGCACATAAATTTACAATGACATTATCAAATCTCACAATGCCCAGCGATATTTCAACAGCCGTCATGTTTATTTACATTGGATATTGTAGTTCCGGTCAGTGTTGTAATTAATACGCTAAGAATTGTGTCTCGTGCGGCATGGTAATTAAAGTCCCATCAACGACACAGCTTTCAAAGAGGCTATATAGTGACAATGCCATGCAAATGTAAATATACCGATATAAACTGCCGCGGCGCGTATACAGATGAACCATTCAGCACGTCAATCCCTAAGCATGTTCCTTGTGTTTTGTTCGTAAATCGTTAATAATCGATATCGGCGGAACAGCAATCTGAAAAACATGGTCACTTGAGCGATTGATTCAAAAGCTATCCACAGTGATATTTAAAGTGGACAGCCGAGCGTCTCATACATAATGGCGTATAAAATCACGTGCTTTTTTCTGAAGAAAATCGTTACATTTTCGGTTGACTGCGACTCATTTAAGATATTAATATAATAGTAAGTGGATTGCGTGCTTTTGGTTTTGACGTCATTGCCTTTATGCCGTCATAATTATAATCGTAAGTCATTTCCCTGAGATCGACTGTTTTTATCACCGATTTATTGTTAAAATAACGGGATGCAGTAAAAGTAGAATTGAAAATCATGTCAATGGCAACGAGGCTTTGGTAAAGTAACGTAACATAAATTCGGGAGTATATTTGTCTGCGTGCATCACAGTGCTTCAATTTACGGTCCCGTCCTTCTAGAAAAAATACCGGACAGCAAAACATATATTGACTTGAATATACGTACTATTGTTGTAAGAGCTGCCTTGCTCATGTCCGATTCTAGATAAAAAAATTACACGATCTATTTTACATTCAAAACAGTGAAAATAAATAATGCACATGCGATTACTCAGGTAGTAGTGTTGAGGTGAATTTGTTGTTATTATTCACAAAGAGCGTCGATTTGAGATGACATTTGAGAAAGAAAAAAAGAATGTCTGACTATTAACTTGAAATGGCAACTGATCGCATGAAAAATATACCTGGATATCAGAGTCTATGCTGATTGCCTTGTAATTGAGAATGAATAAATTTCCTTCTCTGTCGTTCCATGAACAAGAAAGCTAACAACAAACGTACCTCATGCACAACAGATTTAAAATACTGAAACCTGAGAATCATAAATGTGTACACACTGTAGTTTTTTCATAAAAAAAATCCTCAGCGCTAAGGAGAAAGGTTAAGTATGAGTTAGGGATATGATTGGACTGGAGGTATACATTCACAGTATATGTGCTTTTTCAACCTTCGAATTGCTTCATAATTAAAAAAATCAGGACATTCGCTTGACTATATGTCTGGAGCTTTACAAAGCACAGGGACCAGACACGTCATGTTATATTTGCAAGAAGTGTTTTTACAAGGTTGTGTCTGGTCCCTGCGATATAATGCATGTCATTTCACGAACCATACAATTTGTTAACTATATGCATAGCATGGACTTGAAACTGGTTTAGTATCAGTATATACAGTATACAGTCGAGTTCAGCTCCGGTTGTATTTTTTTTTTATCACGGAGAGTACATGTCAAAATACTTAATTATAGTGTAGTATATCAGTTACTCCCTCTGTTAACTATTATTGACAATCTGCGCGCTACCATACAAGTTAACCAAAGTGATCAATATAAGTTGGAAACACGTATTTAAGTATTGTTGTAAAATAATACAAAAAATGGTAACGTCTTCCTAATTCAGCTAAAAAAACTAAATCTTTTCACCGATAAAAATCGTCACGAATAATTGATAACATAAATTATACGTGATATATAAAGTTCCTTCGTTTCATGCTTTCAAGCAATATTTCCCGGATCCTATACATTGAATATCTATATAGTCATAGCATCGTCCTCGACACTCAATATTGACCTCTGTGACCCCAGCGATGAATCAGAGTTCAGCTGACTGTGCCTCGTGTTACCGGAAGCCAGGAAGTGGTCACTCGCACTAAATCGTTGTGATAATAACAGTCCTTTTGAAGTCGTTTGTCGGAAGCTGTCATCGACCGATTTTAATGGTGGCAACTTCCGGTTACGCATAAATTTCGGTTTCTTCGGGAAATGGTGGCAAAAATATCGGACACAAAATGGTTTTGATTCTGTGGCAGTTTGAATTGTATTAAATTCTTTCGGCTCCGTACAGTATCCCTTATATGGCACACTGATGTCTTCCTTCCTTTGGAAATTTCCTTTTAGAGCATTTGCCTCCAAATACGGGATATCTTCTAGGTTAGGAGTTTTCTTAATAATCCTTTTGATGTCCTTTCCAAGATTGTTTTTTTCTCGGACATAAAAACGCATCGCCTGCATATGATATTTGTCGATTATTTTCTGCTGAAATCGAAGACTGTGGTCGAGAAACGAGTTTCTGACGCGATTCCGTTCTCTAACATTTGCGTCAAGTTTGTTGAAGAGTGTCGGCAGACATGCGTTGTTGATAGGTGGCGCACCAAGCGGAAGCCCCGCTACGTCCGTGTTAGTCATGTCGTACTGTATCCCGAAATAATATCACAGATAAAATATATATATGTATCCCAGTAGGACAGTTCCTTTATTTTGTTGTTTCAATATTGAAAATTTCCACGACATAAAAGACTAATGAAATCTCAATATCTAATCTTTTTCTTTGACTTAATTCGACCGGAGGTTTCCCCGCATCGCTGCAGACTCGTATCTATTGGGTAATTAGCCCAAATTAAATAAATAACGATTCCTTTTCTCTCGGCTACTCGTATTTTTGTGTGGTATATATATACCTATTGACCCTTCCAACCTGTCAATAAGTAATTAGTTTCCACCGTTCACCGTTTTTTCTTGAATCCTACATTATCCAGTACCCGATTGTATTCCGTAGAGATTATCCATACCATGTCATCCACTGCCCGGAACAGTAATGAGGCTCAATTCCATAGCAGCTTCTCCACTTCTCGACGCATAGTAAATTAGATTGACCCGGTGATGGATTGTGATCACAGAATGATTACTCTATATCCCGTTTATATCCGCTTCGATCTCCAACACTTCTGTTTTCTTAAGGCAGTAATTACCCATTAACACGTGTAATTCAGTAAGAGAGGTGATGTTACGTTGTATAATTCCACAGCCACGTAATACCCTGCGCGCAGTACCAACTCGGTACACGCTAATGTGTTCTATTAAAACCCATGACATGTAGGATAATTTTTTTTATCGAATTTCATAAAATCCAATACGCAATTGCTGACACAGTGCGCGTACAATGCCAATTTCAATAATGCTACAGGAAGCTCCGCTCGGTCTATTTTTTTAATTGTTTTAAAGCCACTTTTACTCCGACGAGCTTTTAGATCGCACAGTATCGATATTCCACACAACACACATTACCTGTTATCATGTTGACAGGTAAACAATGCATTACTTTTCACGCGACAGAAACGGTTTGCTGACAACTCTGATAACACTTCCACACAGCGTCAATTTCCATGTTCACGGACCATTCCGAAAGGTTGTATCGGAGTTAACCGTGAATGTCTGACTGATTGGATCAGTTTCAATTGCTTCAATATCTGTGTGCTAACACTACACCACATCACATAAACGTTTACTCCAAACGAGATTTAACAGAACACGTTTCTTCTATGACTAGGCCTATCAGATATCAGGACGAAATTTATTGACTTATCAGAACATAACTAGAGCAGTTAGGCGGAATTAGTCTAATAAGCCAGTAAGATTAAAGAAAAATCCTGTTTTACTGTTCAGTTGACCTCACAAAGCACGACGCCTTTTAAAGATGAAAAATGCCAGCCCTGCTCAGCGACCGCAGAACGGCTTACTCTGGTTTCAGATAACGTTATTTGAGCCAGGAAAAGTGAACAACGATCGAATCGAACGTGCCCAGTTGTGGGAATGTAATCGACCAATCAGTGGACCTAATCTAAAATAAATGTCAAGAACCACCATCAAATTGTTTTTTCGACTTCTGTAATATTTGATACTTAAACCAACATTATAGATATTCCAATAAAGCATTCATTGCAGTATATAAAATCCATGGGGATAATTAGTAAGATGTAAGAACCACCATACATTTTATTGTTCGGCCTGCTATAATATTTGGTATTAAAACGAAGCTAGTACGTATTTCAAATACTTTGAACAAAAATAGTAAACATGCAATACATTGAACATAGCTATCGTTGACATAGTTCAATCTTAACACTAGATGGGGGAAATATCGAATTAAAACAATTTATCAGAAAAATGACGCAATCTTGTTTACGAAATGCTTCATCATTAAAAATATTATCATAACTTTTATAATTGTAGTATGCTGAATATTTACTGAATAAAACTGTATTTAAGTTAATATATGTTGGCAAATAACGATCGTGTAAGGAAACCTTAAATGGCGATGGTTCTTATCTTGTAGTGATGGCTTAAGAATTTAACGTAACAAGTTGACAAAGGTATGCTTTGTTCAGTCTGTGTATATGATAACTTTCAATACTTAATCGACCGCCTCGGTTTGAAACCTCTGATAGGCTTGTGTATAATTAGGTGTCTTAGCCGCATGCTTTCATCGCGAGCAAATACAGATAAGTTCGCCTCTCTGAATGCATTGATGAAAGACTCCGGTTGTAAAAAAAATCATTATCAATTGAATGTCGGTGTCTTGTATAAACAAATTGAACCTGTCGTGTGAGAGTGTTGATATGTGCACACCCGTTAGTGCTAACGGCGTGATACTTATAAAACAGGTTTAAGGGTACTTCAGCGTTTACAGTCGGGTGAGGCAAATCTGTTGGCATTTCTAAGGAAAATTGTCTTACACCTTTTCATACACATGTCGCTATGTTGCATCAGCGAGCGCTAACACATAAGATCTCGGCCCGTATTCATGAAACCGTAATCATGCTCAAGCATGGTTTTTGTGCTCAAATTATTTAATATATATATATATATATATATTTAATGATTAAAAAAACAACCAATGACTTAAAGCCGAATACTATTTTCAAATTTTACAACAAACTTTTTGATAGTTTGAGCATCATTTAAGTGAGTAACAAGAAAGCTGGTTTCAGCACAGAATCCCGAGTGCTTGAGCATGAGAACGGTTTCATGCATACGGGCCCTGGTCTACGGGGCATGTCTTAGACGTTCTTATTAAAGCATTATTCCGTCTTTTCGTATTGCAGAGTTATCTGCTCTGGGTGAGCAGGTATTGCTTGTTACGTCATTTGTTTGTGAGAGTAACGTCATATTTTTTTGAGAAAACGTCGTAATTTTCTCACACAAACCAATGACGTAACAATCAATACCTGCTCACAAGAGCAGATCACTCTGCAATACGAAAAGACGGAATAATTGAAATAGAAATATTAATCATAAACAAATAATTAAAAACAATACCTTTTATCATATTTCAAATACAATTAAAGTCATTCAAATATCGGCTCAATCTTCGAAGCGGTAAAATCTATCAGTGATAAGCTAGTGATGAACATGCTTGCTTATTTTACAAACGGACAGCGCTGTGATGCTGTCGTATTCCTTTGATCATATGATGATCACCGAACGTGATTTCGGGGTTTATGGTCAGTGGCCACAAAACGTATTCCAAGAACAAAATAAGATGAATAAACTTAACCTGGAGCAGTTCCGAAAAGTGCAATTTGGAATGTGAATATTTTTATATATATATTCATCATTGTCCAGACTTGCTGATCTATAGCCAGGATGATCGCTAAAAAAGAAAAAAAAAAAAACACCTTGCATGATCACGTGATAACATATTTCCAAATCTTACAGAAGTATCTTGTTCTTATATGTACAATTGAAAAGTGAAAAAAATATTTGTCAAAATCACTTTTTCAAACATTTTAGATTCCATAATTCACTTTTTGTTTATTGTGTTTTATTTGGTGTTATAAGATCGAAAACTTTAGAACGTGTTTGGCTGAGACACACATACTTTTGTTTTAATTGTGTGATACATTGGTTTGTCCTTCCTGTATATCATTTCATGTATACATTACTAGAATTAAAATAAGGATTGAACGACATTTTAGCATGTCCATGCTGGTAAGAACGCGAATCGGTAACATACATGTTCCATGAAGGAACAGCCTAACATCACCAAAATGTTTGTTTTTAACGGTTGTTTCATGTTAATCGAGGCGGGAGGTGAAACTTCAAAATGACGCTGATCAAATTGCGTTCATAGCCCTGTGAACGCAATTCTTTATTGTAATGCTTATAGAGGAACTTGAAGTGGAAATGTAAATACTATATCATAAACATATATCGCTCTTAGTTTGTCGTCTTAAAGTATAATTCTAGAATCGCTGCGATCCTACAAAAAAATATAAAATAAAAAACAACAGGACACATGTATCTTTAACAGCACCGGACACAATGGAAGGACCTGAAAACACATCCACCGAACCAAACAGCTATATACGTATGGCTCGTGCACAAAACGACTGCCAATCTTCGCTTAATTTGATTCAGGCATTCGACCGGAAAATGAATATTGGTGTTATTGACCAAGAGTGGTGTATCAGTATGTATCTAGTGCTTATATCGGGGGATTAACATATTGATATACACGGAGCTGATAACCTGCTACAGAATTACTCTGTCTGTGCGTCCAGATTTTACATACTGATATGTATACATGACGTTGATATATTTATTCTGTGCGTCCATATTTTACATACTAATATGCATACATGACGTTGCTATACTTAATCTGTGCGTCCAGATTCCAGCAGATCTGAAGAAATCCGCATGTTTTTGTAATCGTCGATGCGCACCTACATTTTACATTTAAATTTTAAGTTTTCTTGTTAATGTTACACGAAACTCTATGAGATTTTATACGCGTGACAACAATGTTGCTGTTCAAACTCATAGACGGTCAGATACACAAAAGTGTTTTCTCGTTTACGGAAAGTGTTCCCGATTGAATGAAATAAAGACATGAAACTTGAAATTTGATATGTATTGTATGTGATAGGAATATTGACGAGAATTAGGGAGTTATTTATACATGTAACTTAAATGGTTCTTAACAGAACACTAAATACTAAACACTTCATTTACATCTCAGTTTTAAATTATACACCAAAATAATAAATCCACATATACATTTAAATGTCATATCGAAGCATACATGCTGGCTATTTAAACAAATCGTTCGCACGTGCATTTTCAATTGTCTAACGGGTCACGCGCAGGACCAACATTTAATACCTATACGTGACGGATACGTTACACGTAGATTAGATATAAATCTTGCTTATCTATTTCAATAAAGACATTGGTCACTAACGTCTATTGGCCTGTAAACAACGGAGAGACGCGGGTATTGATACCTACAGGCCGAGCCGGGGACGGTTATCGATCATATATATATATACAAACATACGGTGATATATCCAGTCGATAGATCAATACATGTCAATAGTGGACGCTTTATTCTATTTCTTTCATTTCACACACAAATTGAACAAATTCAGAAAGGTAGGCACAGAATCAGGATGTGAGAACATGTTTAGAATTTATAATAA